CATGAGCATGCCACTGCACTCCAGCCTGGGCAACAAAGTGAGACTTCGACTCAAAAGAAAGGAGGGGGGGCACGTTATAAGGCCCATTTGTAAGGGGGCGAGCATCACCTTGAGCAAATTTGGAGCCTGTTTCTCCCACTCTAAAATAAGGATGAGTGAGCTAATAGTCGGCAGCTCTTTGTCCCACAGATGTGTGTAAGCACCTTCTATGCTGGGCTCTTCCTGGGGTATTAGGGGAACATCATTGAGGACAGACCTGGTCTATTGAGGACAGTGGACACTTTCTTTTTTGGAGTCAGAGTCTCACTGTGTCGCCCAGGCTGGAGTGCAGTGGCACACTCATGGCCACTGCAGCCTTGACCTGCCGGGCTCAGGTGATCCTTCTGTCTCAGCCTTCCAAGTAGCTGGAGCCACAGGCATGTGCTACCATGCCCGGCTAATTTTTATTTTTAATTTTTATTATAGAGATGAGGTCTTGTCATGTTGCTCAGGCCGGTCTCAAACTCCTGAGCTAAGGCAATCCTCTCGCCCCCGCCTCCCAAAGTGCTGGTATTACAGGTTTGAGCCACTGCACCTGGCTGGACACTAATTTAAAAACAAAAATAAGAAGAAGCTAAATTGATTTAGAGGAACAAGTAGGGGAGCCTTTGCCCCCTAACCCCTGCCCCTCACAACCCAGATACAAGAATTGTAGCAAAGCTATGTAGTGATGAAGTTTGTGGTGTTGGCTTGGGAACAGGCAAATGGAAGAGAACTGAGAGATAGAAACACATCTGTGCTTATCCTGACATATGGCCTGAAAATCAGGGCATGGCAAACTGTTCTTGCAAAGGCCCAAATAGTACAGACGGCCCGCAACTTATGATGGTTCGATTTATGCTTTTTCCATTTTGTGATGGGGCTTATCAGGACATAAACCCCACTGGAAGTCAAGAAGCATCTGTACATCTTTTTAGACCATACAGTGTCAGCCACAACTACTCAGCTATGCCTCTCTAGAAGAGAAGCAGCCATACACATTACAATGCATAACTGACAGAGTGTGGTTGTGTTCTAATAAAACTATTTACAAAAACTGTAGGTGGGCTGAACTTTGCCTATGGGCTGTAGTTTGTTGACCCTTGATGGGATGAGTGGGGAACAGACAGACTAATCAGTATATAAAGCTAAGAGATGTGGAAAAAAGTTAAACTGAATCCCATGGTAGGTAAAATACTGGTCCCCAAAGATGTTCACTTTCTAATCCCCAGAACCTGTGTTATCTTACACGTGGCCAAAGAGACTTTGCAGATGTGATTAAGGTTCTTTTCTTGAGATGGGGAGATTATCCTAATTATTCTGGCAGGCCCAATGTAATAACCCAAGTCCTTTTATGGGAAAGAGGGTAGCAGAAGAATCAGAGAAAATGGAACAATGAAAGACTTGAGTGATGAAAAGCTCCAAGCCTAAGAATTTGGGCAGCTTCTAGAGACTAGAAAAGGCAAGGAAATGGATTCTTCCTTGCAGCCTCCAGAAGGAACACAGCCCTGCCGACACCTTGATTTTAGCCCACTGAGGCTGATTTTGGACTACTGACCCCCTCGAACTATAATGAAATAAATTTGTGTTGTTTAAAGCCATGAAGCTTATGGTGATTTGTTACAGCAGCAACAGAAAACTAATACAGATCCCTACCTCACACCATACACAAAAATAAGTCTCTTGTGATTAAGATCTAAACGTAAGGAGTAAAACTCAACACCGTTTAGATGAAAATAAAGGATAATTATCTTAGAGAAACTATCCTTAGGAGACAAGAAAGTATAAATCATAGATGAAAAGGTAGGTAAACAAATGTAAAGTTACAACTGTGATGGAGGAGAAATAGCATCATAAGGGTGTATACTTGGCATATGCTACTATACAGAAGAGATTTGGAAAGACCTTCTAGAGGAGTTCATGTTTGTGCTGAGATCTGAAATCTGTAGAGGGTGGAACGAGAGCTGACTGTGGAAAGTATCCAGCATAAGGGGTGGAACCAAGCAAGAGAAAGGAAGTTAGCAGACTGCTGTACTGCAGTCCACTCAGTGAGACCTTACAGGGCAAGTACAGAGTGGGTTAAGGATTCCACTCTCTTCTCCAAACCTGGCAGGGCTGCTTGTATCCTTGTTGATATGAAAGGCTGTCCTGGGACAGTTCCTCCAAAGCTTCAAAGTTTCAACGACTCAAATTCACTTGAGAGGTGTTGGTATGGTCCAACCTTACTTTATACAGATGGGAAAAATGAGGCCAGAAAAGATGGGGTTTGCCTGCAACCAAATAGTGGGGCAGTGGCTGAGTCCAGTGAATCCTGGGTCTCTTGACAGCCCAGTGCCCTGCTGTTCCTTGTTACATAGCAGATCTGCTCCTGCCTCAGGCTCTTTGCGCTTGCTTTTTCTCTGCCTGGAAGGGCTTTCCCAGGTACTCCCTTGCTTCTGCCAGGTCCCTGTGCAGGGATGAGTCCTCTGGGACACCTTCCCCCATCACCCCATTTAGATTCTCCCAACCCTGCCATTCCTCCCCTCACACTGTTCTGCTTCATCTGCTCTCACAACATTTTCTACAGGCGGCAATACACACACACCATCTCTCTCCCACTACACAATGTCAACCTCATGAGATCAGGACCAGTGTCTGTTTTTTTAATTTCCACACTGCCTTTCCAGTGTCTTCCACACGTTGAGAGTGGCAGGCAGAGTGATAGCCCCCCAAAGACGTTCATCTCCCAATTCCTGGAAACTCTGAATGTTATGTGGCGTAGGAGGAGGAATCAAGGTTGCTAATCAGCTGACCTTAAAACAGGGAGATTAGCTCAGATGATCCAGGTGGGCACAGTATAATCACAAGGACCTTAAAATGCAGAAGAATGAGACGGAAGGGTCAGTATCAGAGTCATGCACTGGGAAACTCAGCTGGCTGTTGCTGGCTTTGCATATGGAAGGGAATGGACCATGGGCAGCCTCCTGGAGCTGGAAGAGATGGGAAAGCAGATTGTCCTCTACAGCCTCCAGAAGGAACGCACCCTGCCAACCTTGACTTTTAGCCCAGTGATATCCATTTTGGATTTCAGACCTCCTGACCTGTGCGATGCATTTCTGTTTTTTTGTTTGTTTGTTTTTTGAGTCGGAGTCTCACTGTGCCCAGGCTGGAGTGCAATGGCATGCTCACGGCCACCACAGCTTTGAACTGCTAGGTTCAGGTGATCTTCCCACCTCAACCTTCCAAGTAGCTGGAACGACGGGCACGCGCCACCATATCCGGCTACTTTTTTTGATTTATTGTAGACATGAGGTCTCACCAAGTTGCCCAGGCTAAGCTAGAACCTGTGGGCTCAGACGATCCTCTCACCTCTGCCTCCCAAAGTGCTGGGATTATAGGCATGAGCCACTGTCTGGCCTCATTTCTGTTGTTTTAAGCCAGAGTCTGTGGTAATTTGTTACAGCCGCAACAGGAAACTAACATAGAGAGATATCAGTAGGAGTATGAACGAATGAACAGATGAATGAGTGAATGCAGAGTTTAAGTCACCCTCATCTTAAGGATGAAAAAGCAAGGTTCAGAAAGGAGTGAGACTGAACCCTCGGCTGGCTGATGAGGCAGAAGTTGGGAAAGGGCTAGGAATGTCCCAGAAAAGGTTGCCCAAAGGTCAGATTTCAAACCTACCTCTGACCCTGGCCTTCGCCATGCTCAAGCCCCTTTCTGACCTCCCTACCCTCAGGATAAAGTCCAAGTTCTTGGGCCTGGTGTTCACAGCCCTTCAGGCCAGCCTGGTCCAAAGGACCTTTCTACGGTGATGTAAGTGTTCTCTGTGCTGCTTAACACAGTAGTCACAGAGCACTTGCCACGTGTGGCCTGTTGGACTGAGGAAGTGAGGCTTTCGGTACATTTCACTTTAATTAATTAATTTGTTTTTGTTTTTTTTAGTTGGGATCTCACTCTGTTGCCTAGGCTAGAGTGCAGTGGCACGCTTAAGGCCACCACAGCCTTGACCTGCTGGACTCAGGCAATCCTTCCACCTCAGTCTTCCAAGTAACTGGGAACTACAGGCGCACACCACCATGCCAGGCTAATTTATTGATTTATCGTAGAGATGAGGTCTCGCCATGTTGCCCAGGCTGGTCTCGAACCCACGGGCTCTGGCAATCCAGTACTAGGATTACAGGTGCGAGCCACCGCACCCAGCTTCTCTTTAATTAACTTAAATGGCTGTTTAGTGGCTACCACACTGGACAGCACAACCGCAAGGACTGTGCCCACCTTTCAGGTTAAATCTGCCTGAGTCCTTTTCACCAAAAGCAGCATGCTCCTCTGATCGCTTCCAGCTGGTTCCCACTTCTTGGCCTTTGCTCAGGCCAGACCTCTATCCCGATTCCCTCACACCGAGCTCATTTCCCATCTTACATGTGGTGGCGCCTTGAACGGGGGTCAGGATTTGGGTAGGTTGATTCCAATGCTTTCCTCCCATTCTACTTCCTAAATTAGGAGAAGTAAAACTGAGCTGGTGACATTATACGGCTACTTCTGAAAACCCTGGCCTTGGGATGCCGAGAGAGTGACCCACCACATGAGCATCCAGACCTCCAGCCCATAACCCTGAAGGGACAACAGACACAGGCATGGTCAGAGGGTCAGAACAGCGGGGGACAGTGCTAGGATCAGATTCCCAGTTCCCTGAGTCTTGCCAGCACTGAGGTGAGGGGCCAGGGAGGGGAGATAAAGCAGTTCCTCCCTACTGGGTCTCTGATGGGGACTGGGTCATCCTTCCCCAGACCCAGGACAGGAGGCTACAGCAGCCCAGGGACCAGGCCCTCACAGAGGGGAAGCAAAACCCAAACGTCAAACAGACAGCAAGGAGCCTCTTGGAGCTGTGAGTCATCTTTATTAAATGCATCTGTGTGTGTGTGTGTGTGTGTGTGTGTGTGTGTGCGCGCGTGCGCGTGCATGCGTGTGTGTACACTCATGCACACATGCATGCACACACAAGCACATACTTCAGGCCTGGGGCACCACCCCATAGAGCTGGTGAGGAAGTAACTTCTGCTTCTCGTTGCAACAGTAGATCCATCGGGGACGGACGAATGCCAGGGAGGGGTTGTCCATCAAGGCCTGCAGGGTGGAGTGGGGGCCCAGATGGGAATATGGAATCGAGAGGGAATGGAGGAATGCAAAGGCAGGTCAGGACGCCCTCTCTCTGCCCCTCGGGGCCTCACCTCTTCAAAGCTGGGATCCCATTCCTGTGCTGTGATCACAAACTGAACCCGGTCACTCATGTAGTCCTCAAGCTCCCTGGTGGCAGAGAAGAAAAGAGGCAGAGGGCACGTCAGAGAATTAGCATGCCCTGTCTCGAAATCCTCCTCCCAGCTGTTCTCAACGGCTGTCCTCTCGCTGTGCCCGCCTGTGCCCCTCCAGGCTGCCCGAGCCTCCATCCCCTCCGGCACCAGTCTTGCCACAGCCACGAAGACAATGGCTCCCACAGTGCCTGGTCCTCAGGGCAACCCTTTCGGAAGAAGGGTGGGGCTCCTCATGCTGGAGGAAACTGAAGGAAGGGAGGCATCCGGCCTGCACAGTGGTAGGGTGGCAGGCTGGTGTGTGGACCCCATGGCCTGTGCCCCCCACTGGGCATGGCCCTCTTCCGCCTTCCTGGTGTTCTTTCCCACAGCCCGTCCCCTCCCACCAGGCCCCTGGGCCCTCCCCTGAACCCACCGCCCCTTTCCCACCCTGGATGGAGACCGACCCGTTGAAGGCGGTGACATATCGGATGAGCTTCCGCCGCTCGTCCCCAGGGAACTCCCCGTACAGGAAGAAGTGCTTGCCCTGGAAGAAGTCTGTAGGGAGAAGGGGGAGGAGAGGAGTGAGGGCCTGGAGTTCCCAGGCCCCACCCAGGAGCGACCAGGCCGGCTCAGCAGCGAGAGGGGCTTCCACACACGGGTGGGGAATCAGACAGCAAGCTGCAGTTCCCAGCCAGGAGGCCCATCAGAGCCTACCAGGGAGGTTGGGTGGCTTGTCTGTTTGCTTGAACAGAAGACACAATGACTTTTACTGTGGCCTGTTTCTGCAGACAGGCCGGAGCCACTGGAGCTTGGCCCAGACAGAACTTCAGCGCCTGCCCCTTCTTCACCTCCACTGTCACCCCTCCTCAACCCAGGCACTTCTGGCTCTTACCTTCTGGCCATCAATGTGCTGATGGCACTTTGGGGGCTCTGGAGGACCAAAATACCCTCTTGCCCATCACAGGGAACAGGGCAGAAACGGCTCTTCCAGCGGCCCCCAGACCTCACCCCTGCACAGCCGCTGCCTGCCTTTCTTCTGCTCCCTCCATTCTAGAAGAATCTAACTCTCATTCCTCGCTTCCCACAACCCCCTGCAGGATTTTCCCATTTCCTCTCTTTCATATCCTTTTATATTGGAAAGGCAAACGCACAACACATGTGCAGGTAGCATCCACATCCAGGGTAAAGACTAGCATTACAGTGGACACTGGTGTGCCCACCACCGAGGTCCCAACGGAGCGTGGCACCTGTGTCACCTGGTGAGCTGGCCTCACACCAAACCCACAGATCGGAACCTGGAGGTGAAGCACTAGCATGAGGGCCACTCACACCTGGAATGGGATGCCCATGGAGGGGAATGATCATAGCAAGAAACAGGAAGGACACAGAGAAGACGCTGAAGGAAATGAATAAGCCTAGGAGAACACAGCACAGAGGAGACCAAGGCAGGAGCTGGGGAGGAAGGAGAAGGGAGACAAATCGTGGGGGCAGCAATGACCCCAGGGCTGGCTGAGGCAATCACAGCTGAGAACTGAGAGGGGCAAAATCCCATTTGGGGAGGGATGGAGGGATTTCCAACCTGGAAGCTCAGGAATTGGCAGGTCAGGAGACTCCGGGTGATCCTCATTGTCTGTGTTCTCATCTGTGGAGCCTGCGTACGGGTCCTCACCATTCTCCCCATGGCCAGGGGGCTGTCTTTGTTCCCGCTGCTCGGCCACCCTGGGGAAGCCAAGAGGGGCAGAGGGTGAACAGAGCAGCTCCCCCGACACCCAAGACCGGGCCACCTTCCTCCCCAGTCTCAGCCCTACCTCCTCAGCTCATCCTCAGTGTCTCCAGAGTCTTCGGCCCCATGGTTCCGTCCTGCAAGTAGAAGCTCAGTCAACTCAAGGTGTTGTCTTGCTTCCCGGCAAGGCTTGAACCTCCTTCCAGAGCGCAGACCAGGACTCCACCAGCCCCCGACTTCACACGCCTTCCAAATGCAGTTATCCAGACACCCAGGCCCTCCTCCCTTAGACCCAGAAGTCCAGGTCCCCAACCACCCGCTTCAGATTCTGACCTGACTGCTCCTCTTCAGTGTCCGTATCTTCTTGGGGCCCTGGTGAAGCTACTTTGGTGTCTTCGGGGGTTGGAGGCTTCTGAGGTGAGCTAGGTCCGGCTGCCTGAGGGGGCTTGGGTTTGGTCTGAGGGCGCTGAGGAGGGAGAGTAGGTGGGTGAGGAAGGCAGGAACAGTGTGGGTGTGTGGGGCAGAAGCAGGAGTGGAGAGTTGGGGGAGCCACACACTCGTGGTGTCCCCCACTATACCCCAGGGCAGGGGCATCAGACCTTTCGGGGAATCTTGGGGGCTTCATCCCCGCTGCTGCCACTGTGAGAGCCCCCCTCGTCCTCACTGCTTGATCCTGGCCCTGCCATGAGGTACCTAGGGGAGGAATACGGAGTCCTCTGAGGAGGTGGGGAGGGTGACAGGAGGCCACTGCCACAGGCATCAACTAAATACTCACTCAGGGTGGGAATCACCATCTCACTCCCAGCCTGCCCCTCCTAGCTCAGGTAGGCCCCACTTGGAGTCAGACGGGTTTCAGAATTTTGAATTTTTCTGATTTTAGAGAAAAAATGACTAGTGTACAGATTGTTACATTACACCCTCAGTGGGATCTGGGGGAGCACCCCATAATCAAACTCATTAATATATCTGTAGTTAGGCTGGGCGCAGTGGCTCACACCTATAATTCCAGCACTTTGGGAGGCTGAGGTAAGAGGATTGCCTGAGCCACAGGTTCGAGACAAGTCTGGGCAACTTGGCGAGAGCTTGTCTCTACAATAAATCAAAAAATTAGCCAGTCACGGTGGTGTGTGCCTGTAGTTCCAGCTACTTGGAGGGCTAAGGTGGAAGGATTGCCTGAGTCCAGCAGGTTGAAGCTGCAGTGACTGTGAGCATGCCATTGCACTCCAGCCTGGGTAACAGAGTGAGATTCCAACTAAAAAAAAAAAAAAATTCCGTAGTTGATATCATGACACACTTAAGGGGATAAATCAAGTCCACAAAGTGCTTCAATTAGTTAAGGATGATCGTGCAGCCAAATTAGTCTGTGCTAAACCAAGTAAAAAACTTTTGGCTCCCAGGGATGTTTGGACTCCGAAATAAGAGATGAAGGGTGTACGGAGCTGGACGGAGCCCAGCGTGTCGGCCAAGCACTGGAAATCCTTTCTGAGCTGACCCCATACACCTCCCAGCCTCATTTTTCCCCAAAGCAGATTGTCTAATACACCAGGCACAGCTGACTTTTGAATGGAGTAAGATTCAAGTCTCCTCTCTAATCCACAGGCCTCAGATCTGACCCTGCCCTGCCCAGCTCAAAACCTTCCATGGCTCCTGTGTCCCCAGGCTCATTCTTACTGCCCCTTCCTCTGGGTGCTGGGAGCTCAGCCCCACTGCAGTTCCTCCAGCAGACACTAGGCTGTCTGACCTTGTCTCCTATGACCAGCATGCTCTCTGTTTCTGTTCAGCCTGGCAGACCTCTTCTTGTTCTTGAAGGCCCCTCCCTCCCTGCAGGCCTCTCCCTGGGCTCCAACCACACTGTGTTATAACAAATGTGACCCTCTCATCAAAGTGAGATGCCTTCCAGGGCAAAGCCTGACGTCTGGATCCCCAGCCCTGCACAGCCCAGGCTGGCAGCAAGCAGAGGTTTCCGGGACCTTCTCTGAATGAATGTCCAACGCTTTTCTCCCACCCCTGAGCCTTTGCACATGCTGCTCCTCCAGCCTGCAATGTCCTTTTCCTTCCCCAGTAAGCAGACTTCACAGACTTCTCCCTCTGTGACCCTCCCAGACAGAGCCTCCTTCCCTCATCTGGAGACCCCCAGTCCCTGCACTCTCAGGAGATTGCTGATTCTGGGCTGGGACCACCTGTGTTTTCACTGGCAGGACCCTGTCTGCTTTCTCTCCAGATCCCAGGTACCGCCCCAGCATGGGAAAAGGGGCAGGTTGATGTGTGCCACAGGTGTACACACAGGGAGGTCTCACCTCCGGGAGGGCAGCCGTCGACGCATTCGGTGACAGTCCAGCACCCACTCTTTACGCACAATGCGGCCTCCGAGGCCTAGGACCTGGCTGTACTTGGGGGTGTTGGCAAAGGCACAGCTGGCGGGGGACAGGATTAGGGGGTGTCAGTTAGATGTGATCTGAGGAACAAAGGAAAACGAGACAGGGGAAACGTGACAGAGGGAGAAAGAACGATGAGGTCAGGAGAAAGAGACAATGAGACTGGGAGAAACAGAAAAAGAAATGAGAGCCTGAGGGAGAAACGTAGAAGTCAGGAAGAGTAAGACGTCCCAGAGCTAAGGAGACAGCGAGACACAGAGAGAAAGAGCATGCGTTAACACAGTGAACACAGAAAGCAAACAAGACGGAGGGAGATGGGGAGAAATGGGGGCACGAGGAAGAGGAGGGCACGGGCCTACATGAGGTGCGTGCTGTCCGGGGTCCAGTCTGGCCGATACTTGGCCCCCAGCTCTAAGGCCTTGTCCCGGAGCTCCGAGCGGAAGGGGTTCTGGAAGCCACTCAGCACCACCACCACGCCCTGAAGGATCTTCCCCAGTTCCTGTGGGCCAGCTCGGGGTACTCTGGGCTCGGTGCCTTCTCCCCGGGGCTTTCCTTTCACTGCCCCCTGTCCTGGGACAGGGGCTGGGGCTGGGGCTGGGGTCCGAGTGGGAGCTGGCACTGGGGAAGCCAAAGAGTAGAGTGTTAATAAGCAGCGTTGAGGTGAAACCTCCAGCCCCCCCTCCCTCAGACCCAGGGAGTCCAGCCCCCTGCCCTGTCCTACCCTAGGACACAAGAACATAGGTCCCTACAGAAACAAGGGGTCTAGGTTGCTCACATTTGGGTCTCTTGAGGGCAGGAGGTGAGAGCTGGGCTGATGGTTTGCTAGGGGTCTTCCTTTCTTCTTGGCTCAAATCCAACTTCCTCTTCCCTTTAGGAGACTCCTGAGGCTGAGAGGGTGGGGGTGGGTTGAGGCCTCTAGCGTCTCTCCCCCTCCATCTCTCCAAGGCCTGATGATCTCACCTTGGAGGCGCTGCTCACAGCCCTGGAGACTGGAGAGGTTGAGGAGGCAGCAGTAGAGGCCTGGAGTGTGGCAGCTGCATAGCTGGGTCCTGCTGGGTCGCTGACTGTGGCTACAAAAGCAGAAAGTGGATCCAAGATTGAGAGGGCTGGGCCCCAAGATCCTTCCGTTTCTATCTATGAATAACAGTGTTGGACCCAAAGCCCACAGCGATCCAGGAGTTCCAGCCCCAGACCCCTCCGCCCACAGGACACTGGAGGCCAAGACCAGCTTCCTTCTCCCTCAGACCCAGGGGTCCAGGCTCCAGCTCCTCCTCCCTCAGAGCTTAGAGTCTAGGTCTCAACGTTCTGTTCACTCAGGGCCCAGGTTTGTGCACTTACCTGGGGATGTCTTGTTGATCCGGCTGAAGAAGAGCGCTCCTGGTCTCAAGGCGTTGGCACTCTCGTCCTCCTCCTTCACACGGAACTGGCCGAGCTTGGTTACTGTCACTTTCTAAGGTCCCCCAAGATCAGTGCTGTGGGTGGGCTGCTGGCAGGTGGGGGGTGAAGAGGCAGGGAGAAGGCTCTGGGGGACGACGGGTAGCGCTTACCTGGGGTGGGGCCTCTGCCTCATCTTTGTCTGGGGGGCTGTGGAACCGTACAAAACTCAGACCGTAGGGGGCGTCCTGGGAACGGAAGGGTGGGAGTCAGAGAGTGTGGCCAAGGACCGAGGCCAGGCCCCAAGACCCAGCAGGACCCAGCTATGCAGCTGCGACACTCCAGGCCTCTGCTGCTGCCTCCTCACCTCTCCAGTCTCCAGGGCTGTGAGGCTCTTACCCTCTTATGGACATCTATGACTAGGGCAGCGCCCTGCTGCTGCTGATGGCCTTTACAATATGAAGCTGCTATTACTGAGCCCTACCTAGGCCAGGCTCGTCTCTAAGCCCTTCACATGCCTTACGTCCTGTAGCCCTCACTGCAACTGGCAGTCTGCTGGGTGTCCTGGCGAACCCACGCCCCATGCCCAAACGCATGCCTATGGGAGGGGAGGGAGTGTCGTGTGCCACTTTCAGAGCACTAAATGTTCCAGGCTCTTTCTCCCTCTGCAAGCTGGACGCAGAGTCAGAAAATGGGAGAAGCCTCGGTCCCTGGATGACTTTGTGGAGAGAAGCTAGCTGACAGGCTAACGGTTCCCCTGGACAGCCACAAGGACAAGAAGTATACCTCTACTGTGTGGCACCATTACATACTCAGGACTCACTGTTACCACAGCTTAGCACCACTTAACCCACAACAACCATGCAGGGATCAGAAAATGAAGGCCCAGAGAGGGTAAGTCACTTGCCCAAGATCACACAGCTAAAAAGTGTTGTAGACAGATTTGACACCAGTGTTCAGACTCCAGATCTTGTGATGTTAATGACTAGATCCACTCTAAGTCAGCTGCTCCCTCTGAGACGCTAGACTTCGCCCTTCCTAGATTCCCTCCAGGAAATGAAGCTTCTCAGCATGGGAAAACCTCAAACTCATTCCAGGAAGTGCAGAAATCCAGCCTCCCCCTAGTCCCCTGGGGGCTTCAGCTGTCCCAGCCCCTTGGGACTCAAATCAGCCCCCAATTTCCTCAGCCAGGACCAAGGACTCTGCATCCCCCAGTCCCCACCCTAGGTACCTTGCTGTAGGGCTGGCTACAAACAATTTTGACTCGATCCCAGCGCTTCTCGGCTGTTGTGCGGACCAATTTGTCAGGCCCAAATATACGAACGCGGTTGGGGTTTGAGCCACTGCGGCTCTCGGAAGGAGACATGAAAGATGAGGTGACCAGAAGGACCTGGGAGGAAGAAGGTACAATGAGTGATAGCCAGGGAAGGCTCGTTTAGATGACACCTGCTTGGGGCTGGGGAAGAGGGCAGAGGGCCCAAGTAGGGGCCAGGGAGTCACAAGAACCCAGCTTGGGTCTGGATGTCTCTAGACTCTTCCTTTCTTTCTGGGTCTCCAGTTAATCCTGCTCCAACATAGGCCCAGAAGGCTCTTTTTAACCTCCCAATCTGAATGATCCTTCTTTAAATTCTTTCATGGAGTCTTCCATATCTGACAATACAGTGGGCTACCTGTCCTAAGGAACTTTCCCAGCCGAGAATATTCATAGTGACTTGGTGAGTCAGCAGAAAGGCAAGGAGAATAACTGGAGTCCAGAAATGAGAGAACGCTGGGCTCTGTGATCCCCCAGGGTCTTGGCAAAATACAGTTCTGCTTCCCCAGCTGCTCCTCATCTGGCTAGGCCAATAGGGGGAGCTAGAGAGAGGCTGCAAGGCTTCAGGCGGGAGAGGGCCGAGCTCCTCCTTGTCCCTGTGCAGATGCTGTGAGCATCATCCTAGGCTTCTGTAGTGGTTCCTTCCTGCAGCAGCAGATGAACGGCATGTGCAGGGTCCAAACACCGCTTCATCCAGTCCCTCTCAGGAACACCAGCAGCAGCTGGTGGGGGAGCAGGAGCTGAGTTTCAGCTCCTCGGCTGTTTCAGTAACCCCAACCTCTTTTCTTTTTGAGTTGGAGTCGTACTCTGTTGCCCTGGCTGGAGTGTAATGGCACGCTCACAGCCACCACAGTCTCAACCTTCTGGGCTCAGGTGATGGCCAGCCTCGACCTGGTGGGCTCAGGCAATCCTTCCGCCTCAGCTTTCCAAGTAGCTGGAACCACAGGCATGTGCCACCACACCTGGCTAATTTTTTTATTTATTGCAGAGACAAGGTCTCACCAATTTGACCAGGTTGGTCTTGAACCCCTGGGCTCAGGCAATCCTGTCACCTCTGCCTCCCTAAGTGCTAGGATGACAGGCGTGAGTCACCGTGCCCTCAACCTTTCTTTGGTCCCTCCAACCCTAGGAATGGTAGCTGCTCCCTGCTATTGCTTCCTTTTATATTTTTTGAGTCAGGTTCTCACTCTATCACTCAGGCTGGAGTACAATGGCATGATCACTGCTCACTGCAGCCTTGTCCTCCTGGACTCAAGTAATTCTTCTGCCTCAGCCTCCCAAGTAGCTGGGACTACAGGCGCACGCCACTACACTTGGCTAATTTTTGTATTTTTTGTAGAGGTGTTACTATGTTGTCCAGGCTGGTGTCAAACTCCTGGGTTCAAGTGATCCTCCTGCCTTGGCCTCCCAAAGTGCTGGGATTACAGGTATGAGCCACCACGCCCGGCCTGCCATCGATCCTTCATCATAACTTAGTCTACCATAACACTAGTTCTTTATATTAATAAATTTTCTCTTAAAATAACAGGTAGAGCTGGGTGCAGTGGCTCACATCTGCAATCCCAGGACTTTGGGAGGCCAAGGGGGTAGAGTTCAAGAAACCTTTTCTCTACTTAAAAAAATACACACACACACACACACACACACACACACACACATACTGGTGTGGTGGTGTGGTTTCAGTCTTCTGGTGGGGCTGTGAGTGACATGGCAGCACTGACTGTTGTTGGCTGTTTGCCCTGGTGCTGTCCCCTGGGGGAACAGAACTTGATTTGTTAGAGAGCTGCACGGTGATGGTGAAAGAGAACAGGACACAAAACCTCAGCTCCATGCAAGGAAGAATGTCACCTCAAAGCTCACCACATCACACAGAACTGGGACATCTCGAAAGGCAACACCCTCAGTAGGCAGACTAGGGGGATATGTGCCTATGGGAACAGTCAGTGGGAAGCTGGACGGTCTTGGCCTTGGCCTTGGCCTTAATTCTGGCAGACAGCAGAGAAAAGAAAAAATTCCCTCTGGAGAACAACTCCTAACAAGGCTGTACTCTCAAGGATTTGGAGAAAAATTCATGCTGGCTATCTGCATGGAAAAACCCAAGCTGCCAGTGCAATGGCTCACGTCTGTAATCCCAACAATTTGGGAGGAGGAGGAGAGAAGACTGCCTGAGCCCAGGGGTTCGACGCCAGCCTGGGCAACATGACGAGACTTAATCTCTACAATAAATTAAAAAATTAGCTGATGGTGCACACCTGTAATTCCAACAACTTGGGAGGTCAAGGCAGAATGACTGCCTGATCCCAGCAGGTTGAGATTACAGTGATTGTGAGCATACCACTGCACTCCAGCTTGGGCAACAGAGTAAGACTCTGACTCAAATAAATAAATAAATAACACAAGTTGAGGTTGGGTGTGGTGGCTCACGCCTGTAATCCCAGAACTTTGGGAGGCTGAGGCAGGAGGACTGCTTGAGCTCAGGAGTTCGAGACCAGTCTAGGCAACATAGCAAGATCTTATCTAGAAAAACTAAAAAAAAATTAGCCAGGCGTGATGGCATGAGCCTGTAGTCCCAGCTGCTTGGGAGGCTGGAGTGGGAGGATGGCTTAAACCCAGGAGGCGAGCCATGATGGTGCCAATGCACTCCAGCCTGGGTGACAGAGTGAGACCCTGACTCAAAAAAACAAGAAAAAAGAAAAACTCAAACTGTTCACAGGTGTGTTCTCAGTGAAAAAGAAAAAAAAAACTCAAGCTAAAAATTTTAAGTGGTCCTGTGTACATAACAGTGCCTGATGGCAGGGCAAATCCTCTCTGGAAGAAAGTACTTCAAGCAGAATTCCCACAGATATATTCCCAAAGAACAGACATTAATGATTAAAATACAAACACACACACCCACACACACACACACACACCCCATGAGGACACAAGCTGTCGTGACTTAGGGTCCAGAGAAACTACAAACTACAGACTCGTTTACACAGAGGTTGTGTTGACATTATAAGACACACAATAAGTGTGTTTATAGTTCAGAGAAGTAAATGGAGCTATTGACAGCATGATGAAGGAACAAATGACAATGAAACTGACCAGGCAGCTTTGAGGCGAGCGGGAGGGCTGTGTGCCCAGTACCAAGGGGTGCACCATGACTAATCCAAGCAATTCCATCCCCTCTGCCAGCAGATGGACCATGACCCAGAGCTGCCCAATGGGATATACGAGGAAGGCTGCTGGGGAAAGACCCTCCTTCCTTCTGAAGGAGAAACAGAGGAAGAGAGCGGGCCACTGCATTCCTGCCATCCCACCTCCTCCGCCACTTGCTGCTTTGGATGCTACCAAGTAACAGATGGGACAGCAGCAATCATACTGTGACCACAAGGGCAGATACCAAAGAACCAAGAGGTGGCAAGCAAGCACTCTGACTCTGTTAAGTTGCCAGAACCACCCTAGGTTGGCCTAATGCTGGACATCCCTCCTAAGAAAACAATAAATTTTCTTACGCAGTAAGCCACTTTTAGTGAGGTATACTTTGTTCTTTAGTCTCTTTTCGAACCGACATACTGTAAAATTTGTGAAATTTAAAAATAAAGCCTTTTGTTGAGAAAAATGTAGAAAATAACTCTGTTTCTTTGTGCCCGGCTGATGGTGAAAAGGAAACAAGAAGGACAAAGAAAATTATACAGGAAGGAAGCCATCTCCGTGGCCTTGACTATATTTGTTTGTAAGAGGCCTGATTCTGAGCTGACAGGGAAGCTGAATGTGTCACCTGGTGACTCAGATGAAGGGGTGGGGCCAACTGTGGCTGGAAACTGCTATCCATACAGAGAGGTAGAGTTCCTCTGAGAGCTATGTTACTGGCTTCTGTGGTTTTTGAACTTTCCAACTTGGACTGAATCACGCTATCAACTTCTCTGGATCTTCCACTTGCAGACAGCATGTCATGGGACTTTGCAACCTCCATAGTCATATGAGCCAATTTTGCTAATAAGTCCTCTCTTTATCTCTATCTCTATCCTATTGAGTCTGCCTCTCTGGAAAGCCATGCCTACTACACCTAGTCATTCCATCTTGCTAGATAGACAGGAAAGGCAAGTAAATATTCACAAGTCAAATATAAAATTTTAGCTAAAAATGCACTTATTTTTTTTGTCATTAAAAAGTAGAATTCTGATCTAAGTCTGTTTGCCAAAAGAAACAGAAAATTTTTTAGTAGTCCCGAAGATTGTTAATTTATCTAACCTTGCTGGGCACAGTGGCTCATGTCTATAATCCCAGCACTTTGGGAGGCTGAGGTGAGAGGATTGCCTGAGCTCAGAGGCTCGAGACCAGCCTGGGCAACATGGTGAGACCTCATCTCTACAATAAATCAAAAAATTAGCCGGGCATGGTCGCTTGCACCTATAGTTCCAGCTACTTGGAAGGCTGAGGTGGAAGGATTGCCAGAGCCCAGCTGGTTGAGGCTGTGGTGGCCTTGAGCATGCCACTGCACTCCAGCCTGGGCAACAGAGTAAGACTCTGACTCCAAAAAAAAATTTATCTAACTTGAGAAAAGAAATGTTCATTACAGGAAATCTAATTTGCTATAAAGTACCATGTAAAGCAGAAAAACACTTGATAAAATGCAACACATACATTCATGAAAAAAGCTCTCAACAAACTAAAAACAGAAAAGAACATCTTCAACCTGACAAAGAACATCTATAAAAAACAAACAACCTAAGGTAACATATTTAATGGCGAAGATCAGGAACCTTCCCTCTAACTAAGATCAGGAGACAGTCTCACTCTGTCACCCAGGCTGGAGTGCAGTGGCACACTCACAGCCACCACAGCCTCAACCTGCTGGGTTCAGGTGATTCTTCCACCTCAGCCTTCCAAGTAGCTGGAACTACAAGCATGCACTAATACACCTGGTTAATTTTTTGATTTCTTGTAGAGACGAGGTTTCGTCAAGTTGCCCAGGCTGGTCTCAAACTCGTGGGCTCAGGCAATTCTCTCACCTTGGCCTCCTAAAGTGCTGGGATTATAGGCATGAGCCACTGCACTCGGCCTGCGCTTTCACTACTTCTATTCAGTAATGCACTAGGGGCAGGAGCCAGAGTGACAAGGTGAGAAAAAGGAAAAAAAAATCTCTTTTTTTCACAGATAGCATGATTGCCTATGCAGAAAATCCCAAGGGATCTACACAAACTACAAGAATTAGTAACTTAATTTAGTGAGATAACAAGATGTCAAAAGTAGGTCAAAAGATACAAAGTCAATATCAAAACATCAATTGTAGCCTGGTTCGGTGGCTCAGCCTGTAATCCCACGCCTTTGGGAGGCTGAGGTGAGTGGATTGCCTGAGCCCGCGGATTCGAGACCCGCCTGGGCAGTGAGACCTCATCTCTACAATAAATGAAAAAATCAGCCGGGCGTGGTAGCTCATGCCTGTAATTCTGGCTACTTGGAAGGCTGAGGCGGAAGGATCGCCGGAGCCCAGCAGGTCGAGGCTGCGGTGGCCGGGAGCGGCCACTGCACTCCAGTCTGGGGCGACAGAGTGAGACTCCAACTCAAAACAAAACAAAACAAAACAAAAAAATACATCAATTGTAAGTTGCACTGAAAAGAGTATGACATCACTTTTGTGGTATTCTGGTCAAAAGTGTGTAACTTAAATTTAATCACAAGGAAACATCAGATATTTTGCACAATCTATGATATGTGATATGTGACAAAAATCACTGACTTCAAAAACATCAATGGTTAGCCAGGTGTGGTGGCTCACATCTGTAATCCCAGCACTTTGTAAGTTAGAGGCAGGAGGATTGTCTGGACCCAGGGGTTCGAGACCAGCCTGGGCAACATGGTGAGACCTCATCTTTACATTAAGTCAAAAAATTAGCAGGGCAAGATGGCGCACACCTGTAGTTCCAGCTATTTGGAAGGCTGAAGCAGAAGATCGCCTGAACTCATCAGGTTGAGGCTGCGGTGGCCATGAACATGCCACTGTACTCCAGCCTAGGCAACAGAGTGAAACTCCAACTCAAAAAAAAAAAAAAGTCAATGGCATGAAACACAAAAACAGTCACGGGAACTGTTCCTGATGAAAGGAAACCAAGACATGACAAATTAATGCAACGCATGAGTCTAGATTTTCTTTTGCTATAAGGAACTTTATGAGAAGCTGGATGTAGTAGTTCATGCCGTAATCCCAGCACTTTGAGAGGCTGAGGCAGAAGAATTGTTTGATCCTAGGAGTTTGGGACCAGCCTGGGCAACATAGCAAAACACTGTCTCTACAAAATATATCAAATAAGCTGGGCTTGGTGGCTCAGCCTGTAATCCCGTGCTTTGGGAGGCTGAGGTGAGTGGATTGCCTGAGCCCATGGGTTCGAGACCACCTGGGCAACTTGGCGAGACCTCATCTCTACAATAAATCCAAAAAAAATAGCCAGGCGTGGTAGTACGCGCCTGTAGTTCCAGCCACTTGTAAGGCTGAGGTGGAAGGATCGCCGGAGCCCAGCAGGTGGAGGCTGCGGTGGCCAGGAGCGGCCACTGTACTCCAGTCTGGGTGACAGAGTGAGACTCCAACTCAAAAAAAAAAAAAAAAATATATATATATTTATATATATACACACATATATCAAATAAATTACCCAGGCATAGTGGTGTGTACCTGTAGTCCCAGCTACTTGGGAGGCTGAGACAGAAGGATAGCTTCAACCCAGGAGTTCGGGGCTGTGGTAAGATGATTTTATCACTGCCCTCCAGCCTGGGCAGAGACACCAACTCCAAAAAAAAAAAAGTCTTTGCTTTTAGGAAATACCCACTGAAGTACACAGAAAGAAAGGGGCATCATAGATATAATTTACTCTCAGATGAGAAAAAAATAAGTACATATTTGTTAACTTTGGGGAGTCTAAATTTAGAGTATATAGGAAGCCTTTGTATTACTTCTGCAGCTTTTCTGTAGGAAAGAAAGAAAAAGAAAGAGAAAGAGAGAGAGAGAGAGAGAGGGTCATTGATAAGATGATTTTATAACTTACATGGAAATAAATACAAAGGATCTAGAATAGCCCAGAGCATCTTGAAGAAGACTAAAGTCTAACACAAGTTTATTTCAAAATATACTTTACTATCAAGACAATGTGGTATTGGCATGAAGAAAAACACACATATCAATGGAAAAAAGAGAATACAGAAATAAACCTACGCATATGGTCGATTCATTTTCAAAAAAGAGCCAAAACCCTTCAATAGGAAAACAGAAGTCTTTTTTTTTTTTTTTTTCAGGGTCTCACTCTGTCACCCAGGTTGGAGTACAGTGGCATGATCACGGCTCACCACAGCCTTGACTTGCTGGGCTCAGGCGATCCTTCCACCTTGGCCTTCCAAGTAGGTAAAACCACAGGCATGCACCACTACCATCAGATAATTTTTTAAAATTTTATTTACTACAGAGACGAGGTCTCACCAACTTGCCCAGGCTGGTCTTGAACCCCTGGGCTGAGGCAATCCTCTGGCCTCTGCCTCCCAAAGTGCTGGGAATATAGGCATGTGCTGTTGCACCTGGCCAGAAATCTTTTAAAAATATTTTTCAAGAGCCTGGCATGGTGGCTCAAGCCTGTAATCCCAGCATTTTGGGAATGAGGATTGCCTGAGCCCAAGGGTTCAAGATCAGCCTGGGCAAACTGGCAAGACCTCATTGCGGGGGCCAGCCCCTGCAGAGAGATTTAGAGGGTCCCTTGGAAGGTGTGGCAGCGTTGGCGATTATTCTGGAGAAATAAAGAGGGGAGAAAGAAAGAGACTGGATTCCTGCTCAGGTGACCAGAAGCCATTTAATGGGTGTAATCTCAGGGCTTTTATCCCCACACTGCAAAGTCATCATCACAGGAAACAAAGGTAGCATGTGCCTTTCGCATGAACAGGTCCAGGTACACAGAGGACACCCCCCACTCTCAAGCAAATGTTCTTTCATACATAAGGAAGAACATGAGGAAGAACAACCACAAATTGTCTTTTTGTATTTTATGCTAGCTTAATGTTCCCCAAACCAGTTTCTTACGTGCCCTTAATTGTATTACAACTACATCATCTTGAATTAACATCACTCAATGTCTAAACCCAAAACCACCATAGTGAATTATTAAATTCCACTATTATGTACTAATTCAAACTAGTTTTTATTAAAACAATTGCTGCTATGGTTACACTCTCCTAATACCAGCTGGCCTAATTCAAACTTCACTGGCCCCCCTAAATAAAACTGAACTAACCATACTTCTATAATAAAATGGTTACTGAAATTTTCTTAATCTATATAAACTATTTTCTAAAACCTATATCTATAAATTTCTAAAGGTCACATCAAGAGAACCTGTGACCTATACTAAGGCTCCTCAATGTGACTCAAAGCCAAACTTAAATTGTGATAAAGCAAAAGACCATAAGCCGTGGGGAATGGGAGCAATAGACTCCTAGGTTAGCTGTGTACGTTCCAGTCTCAGAGTTTTCTGTTAGAGCCAGCTGGAGCTTTTCTTGGTAGTTTGTGCCAAATGGAAAAGGAGGGAGGAAATGGGTCAACAGCTCCTGAACACATCCTAGGGGTCTCGGGGTCAATGGCCCTTCCTGATCCCTAACGCTCAGTGGGCCTCTGTGGCCGGCTCCCAACACCTCATCTCTACAACAGATCAAAAAATTAGCCCAGCATGGTGGTACATGCCTGTAGTTCCAGCTACTTTAAAAGGTTGAGGTGGAAGGATCACCTGAGCCCAGCAAGTCGAGGCTGCAGTGGCCGTGAGTGTACCATACCACTGCACTCCAGCCTGGGTGACAGAGTGAGACTCCACTAAAAAAAAAAAGAAAACTCAAAAATAAATAAATAAAATACAATATTTTCTGCAAATATTTTTTAAAATCCTGAAAAAATTAACCTTGTCCCCATTTCATACAATATACAAAAATTCATTGTGACGGAACCAAGATCTAAAGGTAAAAGCTAAAAATATAAAGCTTCTAGAAGAAAACACAGGAGACAGTGATAGGCAGAATAATGGCCCCTCCAAGATGTCCACTCCTAATCCCTGGACCTGTAAATGTGACAAGAGGGACTTTGCAGACAGGGTGAAGTTAAAGATGCTGAGATGGGGGAGATTGCCCTGGATTATCAGGGTGGATCCAATGTCATCACAAGGTCTTCCTTCATAAGAAAGAGAGGAGCAAGAGAGTCAGAGCTGGAGAAGAAGTGGCAACTGAGCAGACGTGAGGGTGGCTTTGATGAAGGAAGGGCTGTGAGCCGAAGAAGGAGGAAGCCTGTGGAAGCTGGACGAGGTGGGAAACAGGTTCTCCCCTAGGGCCTCCAGAAGGAATGCGCCTCTGCCCACACCTGGACTTTAGCCCAGAGAGAGTGAGTTTAGACTTCTGACCTCCACAGCTGCAAGAGAGTAAATCTGTATTGTTTGAAGCCATGACACAAACTCAGTCTCTCCCCTGGTGTGCGGTTCACCACCCTGTGTCTGCCCCTCATCTCCATATACTGGGTGATTTGCTGAGGGCAGTGAGCACTGACTCACCTCCATCCCATGTGGCCTTGGAGGCTGGTGAAGAAACAGCAGTGGGGGCATGTGGTGCGGAGGTCCGCATCAGGCCCAGCTTACCTCATAGTCTTGCTCCCCGGCCCCTCCGGCAGAGCTGCCCACCAGCACCTCCACAAAGGCTGAGCCATCATTCCCGATGTCTACACTGTGTATCTGCTCTTCCTTCTCCAACTGCGGGGGAGAGAAAGGCCGCTGTCAGTGCTGCTCTGTCCTTGGGTTCTCTCTGGGACCTCAGGATGAGCCCCATCTGGGCCTCCATGTTCCCTGGAATGTCAACTCCATGCCAGTGAAGACCAGCGCTGAGTGGTCCAGGTGTCTCCTACACGCAGCATGGGCAGAGAATGAAGGAGCTTGCAAAATACTCCCTGGGTGAATGCTGACACCCCACCCCATGCGTAGCTGCTTCCTGGGCTCTACAGACTCCACCAGATTGGCTCATCACAAACCGCAGAGATGTCTCCTTGTTAGCACTCATCAGAGTTACACCCTCATCCAAATCATCATGCAGGTAAGCAGCACATGTCGCCTTCCATCCACAATCGCAGAGGACTCCGTGGAAGTGTCTTAAGGGCAGGGGCTTTGTCCTGCTCTGCTCACTACTGACTCCTAGGTTTGAATTCCAGCTCAGCTGCGCACAAGCTGTACAGTCTTGCCAGCTAACCTCGTGGGGCCTCAGTTTTCTCATTTATAAAGTGGGAATGATCATTATATCTAGGGTTATGTACATAAATAAAGGCCACAGGGCCAGGCATGGTGGCTCATACCTGTAATCCTAAGCACTTCGGGAGGCTGAGACAGGAGGATCTCTTGAGGCCAGGAGTTCGAGACCAGCCTGGGCAACACAGCAAGACCCTGCCTCTACAAAGTATTTACAAATAAGAAAAAGATTTTTTTTAAAAAAGCACGTATTAACTGCCATCAGTCAGGAGGCATTATTAGTCGATGCCCAATAATTATTTGTTGAAAGAAAAAAAGAACCAACTGGAGGAGGGCTTCACTCAGCAATCTGCCAATCCTGCCTGACAACTGAAGGTGCAGACAGCTGTGCCGGCATAGAAGGAGGTTAAGAACAGTAGAGGCACATCATCTATCTACCAGTTTGGGGCTCTTTCATTAGGGTCCTAGAATGACAAGTTAATACAACCCTCAAAGATGCCTTGCCTGCCACCTTACCCTGCCCTCACCCAGTCCCAGGACTATCTGATGCTCCCATCTCCCAGTCAGCCAGTCACTGGGACACCACCTGTAGACTACTACAATCAGGAACACCACCACACGGGAGGACGCAGCCTGGACCTGGGGTGAGGAAGGCCTGGGCTCAAGCCCAACAATGCCATGTCCACACTGTACAACCCTAGGTGAGGTAACCCACTTCTCTGTGCAGCTGTTTCCTCACATGCAAAAGGGGAGGGTTGTTGTAATAACCCCCCTTCTGAAGGGAGTAGAGATGACACAGAATAACAACCGTAACAATCGCAGCCAACATCTAAGTGTCCAGGATGTGCCAGACTCATACTAATAATACATGTATCTACTCTTCTTACAACGGCTCTGCCCAACAGATACTATAATTATCTCCATCTTACACATGAACAAACGGAGACAGGAAGCGGTTATGTAATTTCACAGCTGGTGGGTGGCAAAGCTGGACCGGAACCCAAGCAGGCTGGCTGCAGACTCCTTGCGAGCTCCCCTACCACAGATGCGCTAGAGAGGTGGTGCCACCAGAAGGGCCTTCCCCAGACTGAGGCCGGCCTTGACCTTCTGCTGCTCCCCCACACTCCCTACTGCTCCCAGCCCTGAGCCCTGGGCAGTGCCGTCCTGGCACCCAGTGAGTTCCAGTACACAGTCCCGCCTCCTGCCATACCTGATCACTCTCCTCCAGAGAGGTCCACACTGACCTCCCTTCTGTGCCAAGCACAGGTTGGTCCACACTGACCTCCCTTCTGTGCCAAGCACAGGTTGGCCCCTCCCCACCTCAGGGCCTTTGCACCAGCCATCCTTCCTACCTAAATCACTCTTCCCTCAAATCTTCCATCATTCAGCTCTCTGCTCATCTCTTCAGACCACAAGCAGCCTCCCTCCCCTCCTACCAGGCGCCACTCTCTGTCCCCTGGCCAGCTTTATTTTCTTTCATTATTACCACCTGGTATTATATAGTTGGGGTTTTTTTGTTTGTATTTGACTAGCATCTCTCTCCCCGACAAGACTTCTAAGCTCCATTAAGAGCAGAGACATGTCTGAGTAGTTCCCTGCTGTGTGTTCTCAAAGCCATGAATAGTGTCTGGTCCTTCCCAGTTCTGCTGATTTACTGCTGTGTGATTGATCCTAGAGCAAATAGTTTCATTTCACCCCTTGTGCCCCAGTTCCCCAACCTGTAAAATAAGGAAGGTTCAAATGAGGAATACATACCAAGTCCAGCTGCTAACACTATGACCACAGTAGGCCTCCAAAACATTCCTGAGGGTGCACAAGTGGATGGACAGGAAGCCCCGAGAAACCATTTGCTGGAGGAACAAATGCCGCCTAAATACTAACTCTGGCTCTGCCCTCCCTTACCAAGTGGTTCCGTTGAGTAACATCTCTGCTCCATACCTCAGTGTCCCATCTGTCACAAGGAGATCGCCATGGCTAACATTTTCAAATTCTTACTACGTGCCAGGTGCCTGGTATGTTCCTTTCCCATTGTTGTTTGTTGTTGTAACAAATACCACAAACTTAGTGGCTAAAACCAACACAAGTATATTATCTTATAGATCTGGAGGTCAGAAGCCTGAACTTGGGTCTTCCAGGGCTAAAATCCAGGTGTGGGCAGGGCTGTGCTCCTTCTGGAGGTCCCAGGGGAGAATCTGCTTCCCTGTCTCTTCAGCTTCTCCAAGCCGCCTGCATTCCTTGGCTCATGGCCCCTTCCCCGCCTTCAGAGCCGGAGCTGGCAGTACTCTGGCCTCCTGCCTCCGTCATCACAGCTCTGGCTGCATCTCTGGCTCTCACACTTTGCCTCCCTCTTTCCCTTATAAAGACTCTTGTGATTACATGGGACACACTGGCTAATCCATGGCACTCGTCCTATTCTAAGACCCTTAATTTAATCATATCTGCAAAGTCTCTTTTGCCATTAAAGTAAGATATTCACAGGTTCTAAGAACTAGGTTGTGGACGTTCTTGGGGGTGGGTGGCGGCACTGTTCTGTCAACTATACTTGGTGAAGCTCTTCCTGGGCCAGGTATTACTGAATCCTCAAAACCACTTTAAGTGGAAGAGTCTGTTACTACCCTCATTTTATAAATGGGGACATTGAGGCTCAGACAGCTTAAATCAACAGCATACATGTCACATAAGCTAATACCTAGCAGAGCAATTTGGGCCCAATTGCCTGACTGTAAGGAAATGTCCAAGACCAGCCCTTCCCAACTCCTCTCCCTCAGTCCCTGGGGGTAGAACTCAACGTCATTACTTCTCCCACCACATACAGCACAGGTCCCACATCTGGGAGGATGGAGATATTTGTATCTCCAGAAATTTTTTTTACTTATGAAGAAGAAATGCCAGAGAGAGAGAGAGAGAGAGAGAGTGTGTGTGTGTGTG